ATTATTTATGAATTCAGTTTTGCAGGACATTTGGAAACACAAGCCAAGGGGAGTCATTTGTACTAAAATTAACAGAACAATTCTTTGTGACAAAGATTTCTTTACTTTGCGAGATGGAAAATATATAAACAACAAGGTAACCTTTTTTAATCTATGTTCTCTATTCCACAAATTTAACTGAAATCATAGAAAAGTGAATCAATGCTTCAAAAATTAATACTTTATATGAGTAATAATGTATGGAAACTATTCACTCTATTTCACAGATAATGGAGAGTCGTCTGGAACTGGTTACACAAAAGCACCGAAGTGAGGTTGGTGATATTGTTGCCTGTTATAAAGGTTCATTGTATCTTTCTTACGCTAAATGTCATTGTTGCAACAAACTGTAAGACAATTGAACAAATTATATTTTCCAAGCTTCTTTTGCCACCTAATTTTATTTCTCAGATTTTCTGGGCTGAAACCCAAAATCAATATTAGAATTGTGATATACAAAACACAAAACATGCATTTTTACATTATAGCAATCTTGGCTGATAAAAGTTATTAATAGTCAAACCATCAAGCAAATGGTTGAAAGTAACAAGGGAGTCCGTGGCACCATCAGACAAACAATGGCAACTACTATTGGAATTGAAAATTAAATGATAATATATAAAGTTATGAAACACAGATTTAGATGCCCAGCAATTACCTGTTGTGGATCAAGCCAAATTACTCAGACAAAAAATAATTTTTTTTTACTGTAGGATCAGTTATTCAATGCAAATGTATGTGTTGGTTGCTTCAATCAATTGGGAAGCCATTGGGTTTTGATCGTAAGTATTCATTTTTTAAAACCCTGGGCTACTAAGTCTTGCAAAAGTTCATTTCCTAACTCAGAGGAGTGTGACAAAGCAACTCACAGGGCAAGAATTCCTGCCTCAAAAACATAAGATAAACATCATTGAAGGGAAACTCGATATGACAGGATGGTAAAAAGGACCTCCAATGTAATGAAATGTAATGAACACTGCTTTTGTTGTACTTTATCAGCATAAGTGATCAACTTCACAGGTTATCTACCCATTGAAGCGACTGGTACAGTATGTAAATCCAGTACGGAAAAGGAATTCTGCGGAATTCTGCTATCCAGCAATATGAAAGTAACTGGAGGTATACATATTAGGCTTAATATTGTTAGCAAAATTTTTTAACAAATTCAATTTCACTTCTTAGATTCAATTAGGACCTACCACAAAAAAACTGTCAGCAAGTGAACACTGCAGTGAGCAATTGTATAAGGAGAATTTATCTTTTAGTTAGTAAACACAATGGCAGATTCTAAAACAAAGATTTGCGTATTAAGGGATCAGATCATAATCTGCTCCAGTAGCTTTGCCTTTGCGATTCCAAGCTGGATGCAGTGGATGATATATTGAAAAATATTCCTATAGACCATCTAGAGCCTTGGAAAATGCAACTTATGTAACTTTCTTTTTGAAAAAAACATATCGTATTAAAATTTTCTTATCGAGCGTTTGTTTCCTATCAGGGAAAGCATAGGGCGTAAGAAAGATACATGCTCCCACGAATGGGAATTCAATGTTCCAGCCAAATATCCCTAACAGCAAGATGCCCATTCTTGTGGAATATTTTGCAAATTGGTTAGTTGTCAGCTTATTCTTTTGTAGCTTGTAGATTAAACTAGGTATGATGCTATGAAAGAATTCTTTCTGAAGAAATTTAGAACATCGAGTATTGTTACACTAAAGTAAACATTTTGACTGTTTCTAATAATCACTATACTTTGAATTTTATAGTATGCTGGTGTCATTCTTGGGAGCATGTTGTTTCCAAAAAGAGTCGAAACTTTGCGGTTAAGAAAACATTATGGTAGTCTGCTGATTACATTTTTAGGTAATTCATTATGACATCTGATCTACGCTTTATTGAATACATCTAAGTCTTGAGCTATGTGTAATTTTAACTTGTAATCACAGCTTAGCGATTCTACCATACTCATTCTATTAAGGCAGAATTAATAGTTTTAAACCATATTTGGGAATTAATAAAAATGTTGGGAACGTGGTAAAAACAAATCTAAACAATCATAATCATACTACATAAGAGAATATATTTTCGAAATGTGAAAATTTGGAAATATTTGAGTCAATTTGATTTGACAGTTGAAAATTCCATACGATATCATGCCTATCTTTTTACTTGATAATGCATCAGCAGAACATGTTTATATAAAATCTTTCAATAAGAACAAAAATCAAACCAAGACAACTACTCCATTATAGCTTCAGTGCCAGAAATGTATGGATCAGAAGCTATTCCATGCGTCCTGCTTTCCAGAGATTGCAAAGAGCAATGTCTCTCTTACTATGTTTACTATGGTCAGCGATTGGAAAGGCATGTCACTCAAGCACCATCACCTGCACCAGCATAACTAGTAGCACCAGCAGCACAACCAGTAGCACCATCAGCAGTCCCAGCACCATCAACAGCACTAGCACCAGCACTAGTCCCAGAAATAATTCCAGCAGCAATACCAGCCCAAACAGCAGACCTCTGTCATTCTTCAATCCTGTTGTACAACAGCAGAGGAATCTGAATGACAAGCAACCTTGGCATAATCCTGCTGCCCCTTTTGTGATGAAAGGCTCACAAAGAGGATAACGAAATGCCAGGGCTGCAGTGAACAATCTACCGGGGAATCCTCCGTTGTTGGTCATAAAGAAGGCAGACAAATCTTCAGAAAAGCAATTGAGAAAAGAAATGCTTGTGTTCAACAATGGCAACTTCACGGGCATATTCAGTCGTCGCGATTATTTCAAGCCAGAAAATCTTGTTGTGCCACCTGGGTTGATATTGGAGAGAGATGAAATTAAATTCTTCAATGAGAAGACAAGATTCAAAATCCTTTTATTTTAATTAGAAAAATAATTCAAAACCTTTGAAAAATGATTTCAAGTTATAAATATTGCCGAATATCTATCTACACATCATCGACCAGGATGAACCATCTACCGGGGAATCCTCCATTGTTGGTCATAAAGAGGGCAGACAAATCTTCAATAAGAAAATTGAGCAAAGAAATGCTTATGTACTACCATGTCAACTTCATGTGCATATTCAGTCGTCACAATTATTTCAAGCCAGAAAATCTTGTTGTGCCACCTGGGTTGATATTGGAGAGAGATGAAATTAAATTCTTCAATGAGAAGACAGGATTCAAAATTCTCTTATTTTAATTAGAAAAATAATTCAAAACCTTTGAAAAATGATTTCAAGTTATAAATATTGCCCAATATCTTTCTACACATCATCGACTGTGAAATTCATACATCATTGACAGAGCCAGTTAAGATACTAATATTTTAACTAAATAGAAAGTTGTTTATGCCTGAACTGAAATGTTCCAAGCATTTAAAATCTACGTTGTCAACAGAAACCTTTCTATGTTTATAGTAGATGATCACCATAAAGAATATGAGTTAGAAAAATGCAGTTGCTTCGAAAAAATGCAAGTGAGAAGATTGGCAGGGGGCAGGTACAATTCTGTTTGGCCTAATTTTGCCTGAACTGAAATGTTCCAAGCATTTAAAATTAAAAAATTAAACAAACCTTGGTGTAGTTTGATGTAGATTATTTTCCATACCTAGAACCAAACGACGTGGGATTTATACGAGCAACGCGCGGCGTTCGACCTGATTCAAAGACATACCAGTGGAGCCTGCCAGTCCTGAAAATGAACACTAGAAAAAGGGGAAAATACATAATTATTTGGGTCGGGTGGGCGTATAAATCCCACGTCGTTTGGTTCTAGGTATGGAAAATAATCTACATCAAACTACACCAAGGTTTGTTTAATTTTTTAATTATTTTCCATAACTAGAACCCAAACTCCTTTCGGTATTTATACGAGACTTCAAAGAGACTGGCAATGTGTTGATCAAGAAGACTTGAACTGAGAAATGATCGATTGTACGCACACAAATAATCAATATTAACAATCAAAATTGGCTAAAATGCTACTACCAAAGTTACTTTCATGAATTGTCTTATTATAAAAACGTCCAAAAGTACTCGAATTCGACCATCCTGCAGCTTTGTTTATAGCTGTTAGCGATAGGCCAATACTTCGTGCCTTGGATGTTGATGCAGCCCTAGTAGAGTGAGAGGTAAATACATTAATATCAATTCCTGCCAATTGCAAAGTGGTTCTCACCCAACGTGAAATGGTCGAGGTGCAAACAGATTGATGAGGAGATTTATAACTCACAAACAATTTCACTCTCGGACCACGTAGAGAGAATGATCTAAACAAGTATTGCTGTGTGTTAAATACAGGACAAATAGCCTTGCTATCAGGGAATGCACGGAAATCAAGAGGTGACTGATGAAAACCAGGTCTAGTTGTTTTGAGAACTTGATCAATATTCTCGCAGCAGCAATATTCTCTCTTGTTCATAGCAGAGTAGCCCAAATTATGTTTGTTAAATAGTTCTGTTATGAAGTTAATTCCATGATTAATAGAATAATGTGTGGGACATATGTCCACTCTTTGACAGTAAACAAACCATCTGTCTAAATAGGTAGAATATTGTTTTGAAGTACCAGATGACCAAGATGAATCAATTATATATTTGGCCTCAGATGATATACCTATTGGTAATCTTTTGTTCCAGATATCATGCCAGCTAGCAGTTGCAGAGACTTCTGTAGTGGGTGCACAGCTTGTGGACGGTTTGGCAGTAACATTAGATGCTTGCTGGAAGGAATAACAATTCGTTCAGAAATCAACATTCTATTGTACAGAGAATACCAGGGACTATATGGCCAATTAGGAACAATTAGAAGACCAGTTGCATTGTCAGAACAAATCTTTTGTAAAACATTAGGAATAATTGCAAATGGTGGAAAGGCATAAAATTTAATGGTTGACCAGCTAAATGTAAACGAATCAATTGCTGAAGCCTCTGGATCTGGCCAAAACGATGCAAAAGGCTTAAATTGGCAATTGATTCTAGAGGCAAATAAATCAATGTCTAAGGTAACATTTAATTTTTTGATTACAAATTTAAACACAGATGGATTTAACTGCCATTCTGTTCGAAGCTCATAGTTTCTAGATTCAGCATCAGCTAAATAGTTCTGAACTCCTGGGATGAAGGACACAGATATGCAGTTTTGATTCTGGATAGCCCAATTCCAAATTTGCTTCACTTCTTCATTACAAGCCAAAGAACGACAGGATCCCATATTTTTAATGCTGTGTACTGCATTCATATTATCAGTCAAAATTTTAACATGTGTATTCCTTTGGTCAATCAAAGAAGTTAGCCCATACAAAATAGCCTTTAGCTCAAGCACATTAATATGGAGTTGTTGCTCATGGAGATTCCAAACCCCTCTTGTCCTTGTACTGCCTAAGACAGCTCCCCAACCAGTAGATGAGGCATCAGTAGCAATAACCATTTCAGGATTAGAGATTGCCATGTCATTAAATGAGCTTTCAACATTATCAATCCACCATCTTAAGTCATCATAGGCTGTTTTAGACAGTGACATTGCATGGTCAAAATTGCCCTTAGAAATAGCTAGTGCCTGAATTTTGTCATTTTCTAATGATCTATAGTGTAAAGGCCCAAATTTAACAGCAGGGAATGTGCTCACAATTAAGCCTATCACTGATGCAACATCTCTTATTGATAGGTTATTAGACATACACAATTTGGAACATTTATCTTTAATTTTCAATACTTTGGTTGATGGGAGGGTGACATTCATTGTTTCTGAATTGATAGTAAATCCTAGATAGGTAACACACTTAGAAGGAATAAAATTAGATTTTTTAGGATGAATAACAAAACCTAAAAAATCCAATAATTTGATTGTTTCAACAGTAGCTTTAATACAAGCATCATATGATTCATCAATTATTATGATATCATCAATATATGCTGAGACAATGAAACCTTGCTTTCTCAAGAACGCTAAAGCAGGTTTTAATAATTTTGTAAACTTCCTTGGACCAGAACATAATCCATTTGGTAACGCTAAGAACTTAAACAGTTTGTCTTGATACTTGAACTTCAGATACTTTTGACAGGATTCAGATATGGCTACTGAATAATAAGCATCCTTTATATCTACAGTACACATAAAACAATTTTGTCTAACTAATTTGATAACCTTGTCAAAGGTGTCCATCTTAAAATGCATATATGGCATAGACTCGTTCAATTTCCGCAAATTAAGAATAAGTCTAAAAGAATCACCATCTTTTGGGACAAGAAAAATTGGGGAGATAAATTCATCTCCTTCATGATCACATTCTGTTATAACATGTTTATCCTGTAATATTTTAATCTCTGCTAGAATAAACTCATTTTCTTCAGCTGAAAATGGCACAGCATAATTTCTCTCAAAATTGAGAGGCAATGAGAATTCAAGCTGTAAACCAGCTACAGTTTGTAAAGTTTCAAAGTCACTAGTGACAGTATACCAACGTTCCAGATGATTTTTAAGTGCACCTGCTCTAAATGTGTCAATCTTGTACAAAAGATATTTTGTCAGTTTAGGGAGAAATGAAATGAAATTATTTACATTTATCCCTTGTAGGGCTTCTGCTTCCGCCGATATGGACGAGACTTCTGGCCTTTCTCTAAAAAAGACTGCTGAGTAGGGCCATTATAAAAAGAGTGCTGTGTTCGCCTATTAAACACTGGTATCTGCCTATCATGTTGTCTATACCTAGTAGACTGAGGCATCGGTTGAGTAGCAGCAGAGGCAAGACGTTTAGACTCCCTTTCTTGCTTCAGGCGTTTTTCAATGTCGTCTCCAAACAAATGGTTTGAGACTTCACGAGTAGGGTCACATAGTCCCTGTACATCCTTGTTAAGTATAGGTCTTATATTAAGCCTTCGTAAATTTGAGATATTGACACTGGCATTAGAAAGAACAGATAGTGCATCAAAGGCTTTCAAAACAATAGCCTTTGTGTCAATAAGGCTATGATTCTTTTCTGCAAGAAGTAAATCATCAGCCAAAGTTGAAATTATGTGGGAGGATTTAGCAACAGAATGATGAACATCATATAATTTCCTCTCCCTAGCCAAAACAGAATCCTTAAATGAAGGCATTTTCGTTATCAACTTTGGCATAGCTGGAACAGAAATACTCTCAAGGTTAAGAGGGTGCTTGTGCCTCTTAAAAACCTGAGCAACTGCTTTTCTGCTGGGATTTTTCCATTGTTCCTCAATTTTTGAGGCCAGCTTATCAGAGGAAAGACCCTTGCCTTTCTTGTCTAAAACTGCCTCGGATAACTCATTATCAACAAAGTCCAAGACTTCTTCTTCCATATTAAGATCTGGGACAGATGCCTCAGAATTTACTGTGGAAGGCACATGAAACAACGAGTCAATATCCACTCGCTTTGAACGTTTGGATGATATAGCATCCTGATTTTCAACGGAAGAAAAAGCTTCCGGATAACATTTTGTGTGAGACACAGAATCGTGCTCAAATGAATTATGGGTCTGACATACAGACATTTCATCATAAGACCTCTTGCGACGAGTTGGTGAATGCTGGTCAGGTCTTACAGCTGTGCAGGAAGAACTCCGCTCTTTATCCCTGCCTATATTATGATTAACGAACTCTTTAAAAAGTCCAGTCAATTCGTTTAAATCTCTTCGTACATTCAATAAATCTAACGACGAATGCGTATGAAGAAAACCTGGTTGTGTTTCGGAAGAACACCCAGGATCGACTTCGACTCCTGAACCTTGCACGTGTGGGGTCAGAGGTCGAAGGTCACTAGTAGCATACAAATTATCTTGGTTATCCATAACTAAAAAACAAATTGTAACTAGTATAAATATCCACGTTAGATGTAGCTTGAAAATAAAAATGGAATACGATAAATTCAAAACGAGAAAAGTAAAATACCGACTTGTTCAAACACGTGGCTCCACTGGCTTCTTATCAGCTCGAAACACCAACAGGTTGAAGGTCGAACGCCGCGC